TTCTCCTCCTAAATAAAACTCTCAAACCCCTTAGGGACTACATTGTGGATACTAATAAATGAGAAGAAATGATCCTCAATTTATATAAGTACAAAATATTTTCTTTAAGAAATAGAACTAGCTAAATATGAAATATTTATAGTTTTCTTTTAGAAAAAGAAAAACTCAATTATGGTAAATATGTAGCCATTTCTTTCAAGGAATAGAAAAATCAAATGTGGTAAGAAAATCAGAACAAACACCTAACACTTTACTCTAACTATTTATAACTTAGATCATTAGGTTATGACGACCTTCAATAATATGTCACTCAATATAATAAGCCTAATTTGGTAATATAGAAATAAAGTAAATGACATGTTATAAGTGGCGGATCCAGAGTTTTATACCTGGGATTTGAACTTGTGACCTGAAGAAATTCTTGAACCCCCTATGCCATTTTACTAGAATTGTTTCTCATGTTAAGGCGATTCAACTAATTTTTTTATTCTATTCAATGGCGAAATCAGAAATTTCTCCAAGAGTGTGTAGATTTGAAAGAAGTAAAAAAAAATACGACAAAGAGTGTTCAATATATGTTATATACATCTAAAATCTAATATTTTACTTATATATACAATGTAAATTTTTGCAATATCTCGACGAAGGGTGATCAATTGACCACATTTAGCAAAAGGTGACTTCGCCCGCGATCCTACTTATATAATATAATTTTTCAGGAAAGTGGATTCAATTTAACCTCTTTCTCTCCGAGCTGCCTCTGCCCTCAGTCATAGTAACAAGTTAAAACGCAACAATAAGTATTTTAGACTGTCACAGTTAGGTAAGTTACATTCTTCTTTCCTTTTCGAGACTTGATATGCAATTGTAAAATGCCACAGTTTACCATTTCTATTTTTAAACTTGGTGTAATACATCATTCCTCCTTGATGACGTCAGCATTATATTTGAAGGGAATGAAATTGATACAGTTTAATAAAATATCTAATTACCTATTAAAGAGCAAATATTGTATGGATTTTGGGTTTAATTTAGAATTAAGTAGACAAATGTAAAACGTCTGTTGATCAATACTTATCTTCAATAATGATGATAGGGAAAGGAGAGTAAAATGTGTTTGCTCCAAAGGCAAGACTAGAATTGTAACAGCTACAATTATAATTAACTGGTTAATGTTGATTATAGGGTCTGAAAGCGAGTTCTAATTCTTATCAACAAAGAAAATGATTTATAAATTCTTTTTGTTTTTGGGTGAATATAAGGCTCGAATGGAGACTGTTTATCTCACCATATCTAGCAAGAAACTTTTTGTTCTAGAAATAGGGAACTTAGGGTAGTTGCAGAAATGACCCGTTTTACCATATTTTGGAGGAGTACTTTTTTTTTTACTTGATTTCTAATTTTGGAACTTAATCCAGTGGAATGTGGTTATATTGGACCATATTCCCAACTTATCTTTCTTTGCAATCAAGATTCTAGGTTTTTTAGTTTTTACCATATTTTCTTCACCATATTAAGTAGCAATATTTACTTTCATCTTACCGTGACTGCCTGTCAAGAAACATTTTTTAAAACTCTATCAATCCCTTCACGTTCCCGTAGTTCCATTTCACTTCTTTATCTCCCGCATATTAAATTCACAAATTTTGACATTATTACTTGTTTGTTTCTTCTCCGTAAGTGGCATTTTGCAGTGGACAAAAGGCATATCTAGGATTTAAATTCCATGAGTTGAGCATTGAAAGTTGTATTAAACCATTATATTTTTAATAATTATCAATTTTAATAAATCTTTACACATAAATTTATGTCCTGCATCAAAAATATTGGGTTCGAATAAACTTTGCAACTCTGCATCAGCCTCAGCCTCTGGAGGCGGAAAAAGGGAAGAAAATGGAGTTGATATAGTAAAGAATGATATCGCAACCTCACTAGTTCTCAACTCGAGTCATGTATAAAGTTGCATCAACTATTATAGAAATGTTTTGTTTCTATATTCTGAAATTGTAAAACTATCTTATATTCTCAAGTCACCCTAAAAATCATTAAACCTAACAGCTATACGATTAGTGGAATTAATAATGTGAAATATGAGACAAGTAAAATTCTAAACATGTTACATTGTATTATTAGTGTAAAATTCAATTTATATTAACAGTGGGTTTAGAGTAACTTGATTGCAAAATAACTTGAACACAATAATATGGTACACTAAGGGTGTGTTTGGCATGAAGATAAATGTTTTCTAATTTTTTTATATTTGGTTGGCTTAAATATTTTGCAAAATATTTTTCTCCAATTATCAACAGAAAGGAAAATATTTTCCAAAACTGTTCCTCAAACTTCCCAACCCTATTTTCCATCCCCACAAACCCACCCCTACCCCACCCTCACCCCTGCCCCCAATCCCAAACTCTCCACCCTAAATAGATATATTATTAATAATACCTTCTTTTCATGTTATAGAGAGAGTATTTTTTTTTTCATTTCAACAAATGAGTATTTTTCTTTTCATGACATAAAATAAATATTTTTTATTTTCATTTTAACAAAAAGAAGTACTTTCTTTTCATGATGTAAAACAGTATTTTCTTTCATCTCAACAAAATGATATAGTAAAAAGTATTTTCTTTTATTTCAACAAAATGGTGTAGTAAAAAGTATTTTCTTTCATTTCAACAAAAAAAATTCTTTTTCATGACGTAGAAAAAGTATTTTCTTTCATTTCAACAAAAAAAATATTTTCTTTCATTTCAACAAAATAAGTATTTTCTTTTCATGATGTAGAAAAAATATTTTTTTTTATTTAAAAAAAATAAGTACTTTATTTTCATGTTGTAGAAAGAGTACTTTCTTTTTGAACCAAAAGAGAAATATTTTCTTTTTAGCTATGGAGCACAAATTTCAACATTATTTTTGCGTAGAAAATAATGCAACACATTAGTTCCTTTGGGTTTGTGTGAATTTTTAGAAGAATAATTAAATTCTTGAAGAAAAATAGAGTTCTGAAAACATTGGGTATTTGGAGGGGGGAGAGCACAGGAAATATGGGGACTTGGGGGGAAGGGGTGAGTGAGGAGAGTAGCATAAAAAATTATTTTCCTAAAAAATATTTTCTACTCTCTAACTAAATAATAAAAAATATTTTCCGAAAAAAATTTTCCATTCACCAACCAAATAAGGGAAAATAAGGTATAAAACTACTCATTTTCCATGAAAATATTTTCTAGGAAAACATTTTCTTTCGTACCAAACACACCCTAAGTTCTTAGTGCTTTTGAGAGGAGGGTGATTCTCCTACTGTAAATTATGGGCAGACCTAGATTAATTTAGGTGATGGATTCAGACGAACTCAAAGCTAATGACTAGAATTCCGAACTAACAAGTTTCAAATCATGACTCCGTGTTTTCCTCGCAAACATAAAGGAGGGAGACAACTAAAAAGGATGTAACATCTCGTCCATGCGTCAGGTGAAACCTTAAAAGAGGACCTCCTTAGATGACGAAAATGATTTATATCTGCTCCAATCTGTCTCAACAAGAAACAAACACCTACTACTAAATCCAACCTCTCCTTTTCTTCATTGACCTCGTTTTTGACCCTTGTCTTATTTCTTATTCCAAAAGCATATCCACCTAATTGCTTGCTAAAAGGTTGATTACACTATTCGAACCAGAAAATGCCTACTATTATCTCTCTGTAAAGGGAGAAGTGTCTTTTGCTCCCAAATAATTCTTTATTTGTTGTGTGAAAAGAGAAGAATCAAGAACATGCTTTATTTATTATGTGGAAACTAGTATATATCTATTTGGACTTGAAAAGCTTGGTCATAACTGGTAAATATTGTAGTTGGAGCTAGAGTCTCAACGACAATGCTACAGCTAGTTTTGAATCTACTATCAAGACATTTCAGTAGCCTTTTAAAGATCTTTTTAATAGGTTTACTTTAGTTTTTAAGGAAATCGAGTTGAAAATTTCGATGTGTTTGGTACAAAGAAATAATTTATTTTATGGCAACAAGATACCAAAAAAACTATTTCAAAAATATAATTTCCATTAAAAGTGAAAAAGAACCTTCTTTGCTAATGTTTTTCTCGGATAGTTCGTTTGCCGTGGTTACTAATTAAATTTAAAAAGTATTCGATAGTGAGACAAACAATCTTTTATTTCTCGAAAAGCATTTTCCATCATACCCGATGGCTTTAAGCACGATGGCTTTAAGCACGTTGTTTATCCTAAAAATCGGATAACAATTGAATTTGTTAGTGATTATAAGGACATGTGGATTAACATAATACAAAACTATCAATCAGATTGCAATTAAAATAAATGACGATAAAATAACTGCAAACTGCAAGAATTGGATGATTTTAGCTTAAGAATGCAAGCCACCCTTGAGTTGAATGCGCTTTTATTGACAGAAAAAATATGTGCTTGGAGAATATATTGCTTATCAATATCTATCACAATGCCCTTCATGGATTAATGTCAAGTCCGCCCCTTTATATATTGAGGGAGACCTACCCTTTAGGGCATTATTTAATTGTACTATAAAAAATATAAGTTCTTGATTTTGAAGAACGTTGGTTCCCTTTTTGACTAATTCCGTGATTTCTGCCATAATGATTGTTAATGGCAAAAATCACGGACCTTTATCGGATGAGTTGGCAAAGCTTTTTTCGAGACCGTCAGAAACATGACCGGTTACGCCTTCGGTAGACTCGAGGGCAAATCTGATAATCTCGATGGCTAGTTTTGATGATGCTTTGGGTCCGATCTTGAATATTATATTCCGCTCTCGGCTGACCATGTTGGGTGTCAGATTAAACCTCGGACTTTGATTTTTACCCTATTACAGATGTACCGACCTTGGCCCTCCGTTTCTCGAGCTTGATCGAATATCGAGCTTGGTTTTACCCGTACACAGATAGTCCCCTTATTTTTCGGAGAGTAGGTGATGAAATTCTGTAAATCTATATCTTTTTCCTATACAACTCTTCTATCCATTACCTATCTCTTCTGTTTCCTTTCTTACTGCCATTTTTTTCATGTCTAGTTTTGCATTCCTGATGGATTTGTATACAGATTGCTTCAGGTTTAGGAACTCTTTGGTGCCATAATGCTTTATTTCTTGCCTTTCATATATAATAGACCAATACTGCTAGTGCCGAGTTTATCAAATTCCTGCAGTTTTTACCTTTGACCCCTCTTGTTAATCTTCTCCACATTCCTTGTAGTGTAGTATTCTGGACTCCAATATTTAACCACTTTACCATAGCCTGCACACAAGCTCTAGAGAATTGGCATTCAAAAAAGAGATGCCCAATCGTCTCAGGTGCATTATCACATATTGCACACATTGTATCTTGTGTAACCCCCATCTTCTGCAATCTCACTCTTGTTAATAATCGGCCATGTCCAGCCAGCCAACATATAAAACTGTTCTTAGGAATATTTTCTTTACTCTATACCCACCTACTCCAATGTCACTTTTCCATTCTCCCTAGTCTCCATAAGTAGCCACTTTTGATATTATAGTTGCTATTTTTTATTAGCCACCCTTGGTCTACATACCCCTATGCAAACCTGTCTCTCACCGAACATATTTTCTTCCAATACCAGCAGCAATCCTTAGGAGGTTTATATTGCCACCAAGAGCAGTCTTTTAAGTAGATATGATCTATCCATTTCACCCATAGGTCATCTGCCTTTCTAACTATATTCCAGACATATTTACCTATTGCAGCCTCATTCCATAATACTCCATTAGTGATACCTAAGCCTCCCACTTCCTTTGGTTTATATACTAGATCCCATGCTATTAATGGTGCTCTGTTGCTCACCTCCTTCCCATCCCATAAGAAATTCCTGCATACTGTATTAATCTGTTTCATCACTGCCTTTGGTAGTAGGAATATAGATGCCCAATATGTGTGTACATGCATTAATACTGAGTTGATAAGCTGCACTCTTCCTGCATATGATAGGTTCTTTGATCCCCAAGTTTTAATTCTTGCTGTCATCCTGTCTACTAACATTTCAGAGTCTATACTGTTCAGTTTTTTGGTTGAGACTGGAACCCCCAAATATTTAAACGGTAGTTTACCCTTCTGGTACCCTGTTAGCTCACACAAATCCAGAAAGCTTTGTTGTTCCATATTAGCACTAAAAATATTAGATTTCCCAGTATTTGTGCAAAGTCCTGATGCCTTTGAAAATGTCTGAAGTCCTCTAAGCATTAGCAATACTGACTGATATGTTCCATTATAAAACAGTAGAATATCTCAGCAAAGCGCAAATGATTCAATTGCAGCCCTTTGCACTTAGTGTGGAATTCAAATCCTGGCATACTTATTCCCTCCTCATTATTCTAGAGAAATACTCCATGCATATGACAAACAACAGTGGTGATATAGGCCCCCTGCCTCAATCCCCTTTTGCCGTGAATATTGCCATATAATCCCCCATTCAAAGCTATATTGTATTGTGCTGTAGATATACAATTCATCACCCATTTGATGAACTTACCAGGGAAGTTCATTGCATACAACATCTCCTCTACAAACCTCCATTCTACTATATCATATGCTTTCTTGAGGTCTATTTTGATCAAATAGCTCTTAGTTGTAGCTTTTCTGTTGTATAATCTTACTAAATCTTGGCAAATAAGAATGTTTTGCACAATACTTCTACCAACTACAAATGCATTCTGATTCTCAGATATTATCTCAGGGAGAACCATTGTGAGTCTGTTGCAAATCATCTTGGAAATGACTTTATATATTGTATTACAACATGCTATTGGCCTGTAATCTCGTACACCGGAAGCATGTGCACTCTTTGGTACGAGGGTGATTACTGTATATACTACTATTGTTGCCTTTTTCTTTTTCACTTCTTACTTAATTCAAAATACAAAGTACTACTTTTTCGGTGATGTAGGCAAATCTATAAAGCAAATAAATTAAATAACAAAACAAATACGTGTAAGAAAATTACCTACGCAAAAAATAATATAGAATTTACATTAAGCAAGATAGCAAAAAATAACTACTAAATTTGCATAAAAACATATTCTTTACAATTTTTTCTGTCCTATGTGATTTTTGTTTAGATTTGTTATATCCTCATATTTCAATTATATTAGTTTCTTAATTTTTAGTTTTTTTAATTATATTAATGATAATTATTAAATTATTATAATAGTATTAGACCATTAAATCAATAAATTTTAAACTTATTTAAATTGAATATAATTAGTGGTCAACGTAGATACATACAAATACAAGCATATAGCTTTTAAAATATGCTATATTCATATATAAAATTTAATTAAATATTATTGCATACTTATTTGATTATATTTGAAACTCACAAGTAATTATTGAATTATAATATACTAGTTAGTTTTGTTTTACTCTCTTATACCAATGATATTGAATTCTTTACCTTTTTCAAATAAAATTAATAATATAAAAATTATGTAATAAAATATAAAATACTAGTCACAAGAGAGACATGATCCCCTTCTGAATCATATTAAATTCTCAATTCTTGGATTTGATGTATAATTTGATTTATGATCATCAATAAGTTATTAAAATAGTAAAAAAACCATATCATTATAAGGTAATCTATTGTCTAGATTAAATATATATAATTTACTATACAATATAATTGGTACAAGCTGATAGTCGTTTAAATTCTACTATATACTTAGTTATTCACACATTAATTATATTTGAAGCTTACAAGTAATACTTTATTTGTTTTTAATTGTCTCCGAACCAGGGAGGGTCGAGACCACTTTGCCATGAGCTAGGGAGGTCGAAAAAGAGACCGTGGCCGGTACTTCTCGGTCGGAAGGTAGTGTGCCTAAGGAGGCACTTGGGGTGATCGATCTCTCTGGATCACCTTCGTTTACCGATTCTATGATAAACGAGGCTCAGACGTTGAAAGGTAATCTCGGCGAAGGGGCCCAAGGAGCAGCCGATTCTTTCCACAATTTCTTTAATGGCCTGAATTCTATTGCTTCGGAGGATGTCACCGGGTTGGGCGACTTACCGGTACCAAAGAAAATACTGTCCCCGGGAGTTGGCGGGTCTTCTTCAAGCCCAAAATTAGTGAATCAGTTCCCAGCCCCGAGTGTTGATCCTACTCAGAGACGAACAATTTATATGTCCATTCCGGAGGACGCCCGAATTCTCTCTACCCCGGTGGGGATTGCCAGTTACCTTCGGTGCTTGGTGACCGAAGAGGATCAAGCTAGAATGAACGAGGTGGAGGTGCCCTGCCTGTTCAACGAGGCTCAACATGCGCTGAATCGGGTAATTTTGAATGTCCCTTCATTATGTACTTAGATTTAATCATGAACAATCGTAACATTTTCCTTTGTGCTTGAAGGCCTCGGTGCTTCATCACGAGGTCTTTCTCCGATATCGGGAGGAGTTCAAGCGTCATGAGGTCGTGACTCTAGAATTTGCTGAGAAGAAGGATACTTACATGCTTCTTAGTGAGAAGCTCCAGGCCAAGTTAAAAGCAGTTCGAAAGGAGCATGCCGATCTGGTCGAGCAGGTAAGACGAATATTCGAACTTAGTGATGATGATTCAGACACATTGGCTAACGACCCAAACCCACAGGTTCAAAAAAGACTTGACCAGATCGAGCAGCTCCAGGTGGAGGTGGACACGGTGAAGGCTGAAACCGAAAAACGGAAGAAAAATATGGACCGCTTGACCTCGGAAAAAGAGACTGCCCGGGCGCAGTTGGCTTCAGCCGAGGTTCAGCTTCGGGCTCCAAAGGAGAAAAACTTATAGCAGGCCCAAAATATCGAGGGGCTCCAATCTCAGCTAAACTCGGTTGTTTCTGATCAAGAGAATTTGGTCAAGGAGCATGAGGCGGCAAAGTCAGAGGTTGTCATGGCCAAGACCAAGGCTGATAAAAATGTGGCCCAGTTCAAGGCCGATGTCGAGGCCATTCAGGAACAAGCGAGAAACATGGTGAAACATGCGAGGTGGCAATCCCGAAGGGAGGCCATCGAGGGAGTCCATGCTCAGAGTTTTGACATATTGGCTAAAATCGAGAATGCCAAGGAATGCGAAGCCAAGGCCTGGAAGTTGGCTTATCCCGAGGAGGATTCTGAAGGGTCTGAAGAGTCCGGTGGGTCCGATGGTGCCGAAGACCCCGTAGGAGATGATGTAGCCCCCGATAAAAATTAGGCCATTTAGGACCTTTTTGCTTTTTGTACTATCTTTTTGTTGAGGCCGTTCGGCCTTTGTAAAAAAATATGTACTGGGGCTATTCAGCTCTTGTAAAGAAATTTTGATATATACATAAGTCTTTTCCCTTTCATCACTTTTGAATTTTTTCCTTGCTTTTTATTTATCTTCGCAAAGGTCAAAATGCCTTAGCATGAAATAATTAGGTTATGTTCAATGGTTCGAACAAACCTTGCCTTTAAGGTTATCCCCTCGAGTGTTTATTAACTCGGAACGATCTTAGCCTTTTAATTCGGGTAATGCCAAATAAACATCATGCCCTCGAGTTTTATTAACTCGGAATGGCCTTAGCCTTTTAATTCGGGCAATGCCAAATAAGCTTCATGCTCTCGAGTTTTATTAACTCGGAATGGCCTTAGCCTTTTAATTTGGGCAATGCCAAATAAGCTTCCAGCCCTCGAGTTTTATTAACTCGGAACGGCCTTAGCCTTTTAATTCGAGCAATGCCAAATAAGTTTCATGCCCTCGAGTTTTATTAACTCGGAACGGCCTTAGCCTTTTAATTCGGNCGGATAATGCCAATAAGCTTCATGCCACCGAGTTTTATTAACTCGGAATGGCCTTAGCCTTTTAATTTGGGCAATGCCAAATAAGCTTCCAGCCCTCGAGTTTTATTAACTCGGAACGGCCTTAGCCTTTTAATTCGAGCAATGCCAAATAAGTTTCATGCCCTCGAGTTTTATTAACTCGGAACGGCCTTAGCCTTTTAATTCGGGCAATGCCAAATAAGTTTCATTCCCTCGAGTTTTATTAACTCGGAACGACCTTAGCCTTTTAATTCGGGAAATGCCAAATAAGCTTCATGCTCTCGAGATTTATTAACTCGAAATGAACTTAGCCTTTTAATTCGGGAAATGCCAAATAAGCTTCATGCTCTCGAGATTTATTAACTCGAAATGAACTTAGCCTTTTAATTTAGGAAATGCCTACAATCCCCGAGTGAAGTGAATGCTCGAACTCAGATTAAGGTATCCCTTTGGATCGATATCTTTAGGGGTCGGGTGTAGGAAATTTCTTGAGAAATGCAAGAAATGTTTTTGAGGACAAGATGTTTATGTGAAAAGAAGAGTTTTTTTATTTTATTCTTGTGCATAATAATTATACATGTATACATATTTTGTGCCAGGGCTCGAGTAGTTTGAGCGGGCATGGTAATTTGACCATTTGGACCTTACAATAAATCCTATTGATCGAGACCCTTCAATCACGAAGTTTCGTCCCTTGTTAAATTCGATATCCGAGGATACTGTCCCCTCCAGCATTCGAGGTTGACCGAAGCGAGGCCTCGAATGCTATTGTGATCATTGGCACCGGTTCGTAGCCGGCCTTCGATTTTAAGTTAGCACGATTCACTTGTTGCCTCGTTAAAAAGCTTACCGGAAAACCCATTTGGGATAAATCCGATTTAAGGGGAAAAGAGTGCAACACGTACTTTCAGACCTAGGATCTCGTATCATCCCTTACTGGTCACCTGCAAGTGTTAGTTTGAAATGTAAAATAAAAGAAAGAACAATGCTTTACCTTAGCAGTAATATCGCTTTAATTGAGTTATATTCTAGTTGTTCGGCAATTGTTCGCCGTTCATTATTTCGATCTTGAAGGAACCTTTTCCGGTGATCTCGATAATTTGGTACGGTCCTTCCTAGTTTGGCCCCAATTTCCCCTCATTCGGGTTTCGGGTGTTAACTGTAACTTTTCTTAGTACTAAGTCCCCGGTATTGAAATATTAAAGGTTGGACCTTCGATTATAATATCTCTCAATTCGTTGTTTTTGGGAGGCCAACCGGATAAGGGCGGCTTCGCGCCTTTCATCTAATAGTTCCAGGCTCGTACTCATAGCCTCATCATTCTATTCCTTTGTTGCATGTCGGAATATGATGCTCGGTTCTCCGACCTCAACCGGTATTAAGGCTTCGGTTCCATAAACCAAAGAAAATGGTGTGGATCCGGTACTGGACTTCGAGGTTGTATGGTACGCCCATAGGACCTCAGGTAGCATTTCCTTCCATTTTCCTTTGGCATCGATCAACCTCTTTATGAGGTTTTGGATTATGGTTTTATTGGTGGATTCCTCTTGTCCGTTCCAAATAGGGTGGTAAGGAGTGGATAAGATCCTTTTGATCTTATGGTCTTCAAGAAACTTGCTTACTTTGCTGCCAATAAACTATTTTCCATTGTCGCACACAATCTCGGCCAGTATTCTAAATTGACATATAATGTGGTCCCAGATAAAATCGATGACTTCTTTTTTCTCTGACCTTTTCATATACATGTGCCTCTAGTCATAAATAAAATAAATAGAGCCTTACCGGGTGCCCGTGGAAGGGGGCCAACGATGTCCATCCCCCATTTCATGAACGGCCATGGTGACAAGACCGAATGTAGTGGCTCTCCTTCTCAATGAATTAATGGAGGAGCATGACTTTGGCATCTATAGCATTTTCGAACGAACTCCTTCGCGTC